TGGGGGAAACATTGTTTTTTTTATAACTTAAAACAATAATTTTGTAATATTTCTTTTCTTTTTCTTCAACAAAAAAATTTGTATACAATTTATTTCAATCATTTTTCATGAAATAAATCTTGTTAGTTGTTTTAATTGATGATTTATTTAATTTAAAAAAAAAAAAAAACAAAAAAAACATGTCTGAACAAGTAGAAGAAGAAGAAGAAGAAGAAATATAATAATAAATAGTAGAATAATAATAAGTTTAATTAAAATGCGAATTTGTAATTAATATACTTGTCTAGTTGATGATGAATATTCAAATATGTTTAATTAATGATAAGATAAACTTGTTGAAGAAAATACTATGATGAGAAAATTGAAGTCTTTTCGTTTGGATCAATACCGCATAGTAGTACCTGTGGAACTATGCACTTAAGATGAGAATATTCGATTACGTTGGATCGCAAGATAAAATAAATTTAAGCTAATGGTGCGGACGTTTATTACAAGCTTCAAGAAAATGTCTTTCTTTCTCTCCCTCTCTCTCTCTCTCTCTTTCTCTTTTATAGATACGTTATTAGAACGACACTTAACAGAAGAACAGACATTGTTTAATAGTATAAACGTCAGCAGAATAAATTTCAATTTATATATCCTCTTAAATCTAACGAAATGAACAAAAAAAGAAATATAAATAAAGAGAATGATGTATGAATTTGATTTTAATGAAAATAATTTATTTAAAAAATTTGATTGAATAGCAACAAAGAAATAGAAAGAAAGTGAATGATGTATGAATTTGATTTTAATCAAAATAATTTATAAAAAAAATGTAACTAAAATTTGATTAAATAACAACAAAGAAATAGAAAGAAAGAGAAAGATGTATGAATTTGATTTTAATGAAATTAATTTATTTAAAAAAATGTAATAAACTAAAATTTGATTGAATATCAACAAAGAAATAGAAAGAAAGTGAATGATGTATGAATTTGATTTTAATGAAAATAATTTATAAAAAAAATATGTAATGAACTAAAATTCGATTGAAAAGATTACATTTTAATATTGATAACAATAAAAATTAAAGATCTTTGTATTACATGTTTTACATTACATCGATTAATAAATTTTCCTCGACAAATTGAATTATAAGATTTTAATAAAAAAAAAAAAGAAAAAAAAAAGAAGTAAATTATCTTTTTGTTATTTGCATATTCTATCAAAAGTATCATCTCGATTTACGTCAAATATAATTATTGATCGATATTAGAAAAAATTCGTGGAACGTTAACTTGTTGCGAACCGAATATAGAACACCATATATATATATATATATATATAGGTAACATGGATCATCGAGATAGTTGAGTTTGTTTTCTATTCCGAAAAAAAAAAGGGAAATCGGTATTTCATTCGATGACATTACCTAAAATATTAAATCTAAAATAAATCATATAAATAACAAAACACACAGAAAAAAAAATAAAAATAAAAAACTAATAGTAAATCAATTAAACATTTTACAAATAAAATAAAATAAAATCAAATCAAATCAAATCAATGTGATGTAATTTAAATCGTTACTTTCAAACATTTATTTCATTCCCCAGAATTCGTTCAAATAAAAATGACATATTTCATAATCTGTGTCAATGTCATCGTGATCAATGAAACTGAATGGAGAAAGAAAAAAAAAAGATTAATTAACAAATATTTCATATCAAAATGATACATATATATATATATATATATATATATATATATATATGAATTTATATGTTTTATGTTCGTATGAGTTACCACCCTTAATTCTATCAAAATCAAAACGATACTACAATAAAAAAAAAAAAAAAAACGAACGTACGTGACATTTTTAAAATTGCAAATTAAACACGAATAATAATCATTAACATTTATTAATAATTATTTATAATTCCTAGAAGAAATTCATTGCAAATAATTTAACAATAAATTAATAATTAAAAAAAAATATATATACATGTATAATAAAAAGCAAAATCTTGAGAAGAAAAAAAAAAGAGATAGGAGAAGAAAAATGGTATAGTATGAATGAGAGAAAGAGAAATAGAAAGAGAGTGAGTGAGTGAGTGAGTGAGAGAGAGTGAGACAGACAGAGAGACTAGGGTCGTTAAAGTGTGAGGGAGGTAGGAAATATCGTACCGGTGAATGAACGAGACTTGAACGAGGTTGAGAATTCACTAACCTGCCTGTCCGCAGAGTCCGGAAACCAAGTAACAACTGACGATGAGAGGTGGCAGTGCTGAAGCTAGGCATACGAGCATCCACCACCACCACCACCACCACCACCACCACCTTCGGTACCATCATATTCCACCCTCCACTACCTCACCCTTTGAGATACGACCACCTCCACACTTGCGGAGGAATCCTTACTCTATCTCTCTCCAACTTTTATACTTTACCCCCCTGCCCACACACCAAACAACTACCACCACCACCACCATTACTACCCTACCACCAGCAACACAACAAATTCGAGTTTCCCTACCCCCCCCTCCCCCCTTTTTACTATCACCCTCTGGTTGTTCTATCCCCTCTTTTTCTACCCTTCTCCTATCATTCTCAATTCCTTTTATTTCATTCAGCCCTTTCTCAGACTACCCTTAACTTCTTCCCTCTCCTCCTATTCCTACTCTTTCACCCTATTACACCTACACATACTAATACACACACACTATCCCTTCCCTTTCCTCTTCTTATCTTACTACCCTATACTCTGTTTCTTCCCTTTCCCTTTGACCCTATTCTTTCTATATATATATATTCGTTTCTTTTTAGATAGACTTTTTTTTTCCTTTATTACCATCACCACGTCTTTTACTATCAACGAAATTTCGTCTATATCCTCTTTTCCTATCGTTTTTTTTTTTTTTTTCCGTTGACAAAAAATCTTCCTTCAAATCTACCGGAAAACTGCTACTCCCCTTTTATCGTCATTGATGTAAAACGACAATTCGAATAAGTCCCTTTTTTCGAAATCTGAGAAAGATATACACACACACTATTATAAATTAGAAAAACGTCTATATTCCTGTTGTATTCTTAATGAAAGAAGAAGACAAAAAAAAGAAGAAGAAGAAGAAGAAGCTTACTAACACCCCTATCGTTCAAAGAAGATTTTCAATACGATTTATCAATGGACTGATTTATAAAATATGAATAAAACATGGGGGAGGAAGGAAATTGA